AAGAAAAAGCAGGATTCCTAAAAGCTAAGATGGGAGGTTAAGTTCTTAGATGGAGAAGAAAGAGAACATTAGAAATCTCTCTCCAGAAAGAATGTGAGCAGCTTTGAACTCTGAAAGTTTTGGTAATTATTTAGGTCATTACTAAGGAGTCTTTTATTTGGGGGCATGACATAATGAGATAACGATGGCCTTATGGCTCCCTGTTCTCTTGCTTTTGTATTTAACTTCTCTTCCCCACTTTCACCAGAGATTGTGGAGGAAGAAATGAGGAGTTTGTGATCATTCCAACAAACTGTCCAGAACATTTTTGTTGGATGAAAGTGAATCATCATGGAGCTTATTGTTACAAAGTTGTTATTTGTATTTTTATATACTTATAATTTGTTACTCTACAGATTAAATAACTTAAGAAATAGTCTGAAAATTTTAACAATTTTAAGAAATGAGACAAAAAAAAAAAGGTTGCATCTCTGTGAAGTTTGGGTAAGAATTCAGCATTCAGATAAGGACACGTGCACACGAATGTTCATTGCAGCACTGTTTACAATAGCAAAGACCTGGAACCAACTCAAATGCCCATCAACGATAGACTGGATAGGGAAAATGTGGCACATATACACCATGGAATATTATGCAGCCATCAAAAATGATGAGTTTGGGTCCTTTGTAGGGACATGGATGAACCTGGAAATCATCATTCTCAGCAAACTGACAAAAGAGCAGAAGATCAAACACCGCATGTTCTCACTCATAGGCGGGTGTTGAACAATGAGAACACATGGACACAGGGAGAGGAGCACTACACACTGGGGTCAGTTGGGGGGAAATAGGGGAGGGACAGTGGGGGGTGGGGAGCTGGGGAGAGATAGCAAGGGGAGAAATGCCAGATGTAGGTGATGGGGAGGAAGGCAGCAAATCACACTGCCACGTGTGTACCTATGCAACAATTTTGCATGTTTTTCACATGTACCCCAAAACCTAAAATGCAATAAAATAAATAAATGGGGAAAAAAAAAAGAAATCAGCATTCAGGTTTTACTGATATGTAAACTGACAACACTATATAAATAAGAATGGCAAAGGAAATAACCTAGGCATCTCTGTTTAGGACATTGGTTCTTAAACCTTTGCAAACTTATGTTTCTGTTTCAGTATATAATAGAAATGCTAGAATTTCTTCCCAGGAAAATACCACGGGTGCTTATTTATGAAATTTCATCTAAAACTTTAGGGTTTTTCTGACTTTCTGGAAACACTACATGGCTCTTCTGGGCATCCATAGTTATCAAGTTATAAGACCGAGACAAAACAAGTTACAGAATACAAGATTTAGAGCATTGCTTCAGAGACCAAAGGAGCAGCAGAAGTGCCTAAAATACCCTATGGGGGCAGTTTAGGAGCTGAAATCACTGGGATCTTCATAAATACCTGGCATCATTTTAACTAATATGAAATAGAAAATGAGTTAATTATCATTTTCTATTTAAGTTTTAAAAGTTTAAATTACTTTTACTCAAGGAAAATTGCTGTATGTCTTGAAAACAATATGATAGATAAATGCAAATATTCATGAGCTGAAATGAGAAAAACTTTAGGGCTTATTCCAAGCTGATGAATCTTAAACTAGTAGTTTAAGCTCTCTGAGCTTTGGTTTTATGGTTTTTTTTTTTTTTTTAAATAATAAAGTATTGGACTGTGTTATATTGAAGCCCTCTATATGTCCTAAAATTTGATAATTTAAATAAACTCATCTAAGTCTAAAAAATTAATACAAATTTAAAACTTCTAAAAATGAGAATCGCTACAATTATTCCCAGAGTAACGTATTTTCAGGAAGTGATTCAAAGCTAGATGTGGTTGAATTGCCAAATGGCTGAATTTGCAAAAGTAGGCGATAATTAAGTCGTTATGCTCAACCCTTATTAAATATTAATGAATTCTCCATGACTTTGAATTGGAAGCGTATTTTACATGAGAGGTTCTTACTGGGCTGTCGGAATGATGAATCATCTCTCACTCAGAGGTGGTCTTCCCCAGCTCCAAGGTACTCACAGGCACTACCAGGAAATTTATCTGTGGTTGACTGTGTTGTACTTGGCTTTTAACTATTTTTTAAAAAAAGAAATTTTCAATATTGATATCACCATGCTTTAGCCTACAGGAGCAAAAGGTTTTCTCTACAAAAAAGGGCTTGACGTTAGAAAAATAACGCACTCAGCCAAGGCTTCAATCATCTGCATGCACTCACCATTTGTGTGGCTTTATAGCTGGCTGCATATGCACCAGCGCTGAGGATCCTAAATGCATCTGGGGAGCAGAAGCTGGTCAGTGTAGTCCTCTCCACCCACATTTGTTGTTTGTTTTTGTAACACATGTTAGGCACAAAAGAGACAAACAAGGGTAAAATGGTTTTCTCCTTTCCCATCTGGTTTTCTGCCAGAAATACAAAGCCCAAACAAAGCATCAGGTTTCAATGTTCGGACTGTTGAGGAACCCCACTTTCTTGTTCTCTATTCTTCACCATTATTCTTAACAAATATTTTTTCACCAAGTAGAAAGCAATGTAGTTCAATAAAATAGAGAATTATTTACCTGTACCTTCTTCCCAATTCCCGGTTGTTAACACTATATTTGTGGCGTAGTGCCTCTTGTGCTTTATTTCATAGGAATGTATTCTCTTATAAGAGCTATATATTCACAGTATTTTAAACTCCTCACATTAAAAATACAGATAATCTTTGGTGTATAAATGACCTCCATTGTATGAATTATTTAAAATTTCTGCTGTTTGGAGGTCAAAATATATATCTCATGGAAATAACTTTAAAAATAGTGGATAGGACCCAGGATTAGAAAAAAGAGAAAAAGAGAGAAAAGGGTGGGGAGAAAAGAAAGAAGGAAAGAAGGGAAGGAGGGAGGGAGGGATGGAGGGAGAGCTATACAGACATATAAAATATAGTATACATTCTTCACATGCAAATATTTTTGTCCATTCTGTAATGCAAACTGGAAATCCCTTAGCAGCTGAGCAACATGGAGAGACACAAGAACTATCTCTTTAAGGTGAGTAAACTATGTGCCTAATAGGGAGACGATAATGGCCTCTGTCCCATAGAAGGATCAGCACGTGACAACATTGCCACAGCTTCCATTTCAAGACGGTACACGATTTCATAAGCTGAGGATGGTATGGTTACCCCACCTGTTCATATTTATTGAGCAACTGTAAATTGGGTGTTTTAATGCCAAACATTGCCAAAAAATAATTAAACCCTCCTAGATAAAGACTTTTGAATTAGAAATATGTCTAATATTTGGCATATATTAGACATATTTTGGCAATCTATTATTTTGGCAATCTATTATTTTCAGTTGGCTTAGTGAGCATTAATGGACATTACTAGCAATTTGTTCTGTTTAAGTTTTTAACTTAAATTTTTTTAACATTTGTAAAATTAGAGAATGGCAGCATGAATTTATGTATTTCAATCCATTTTGGTTCAAAACTCAATATTTTGAATCCTTTGTATCAGTTATTTTTTTCCTTTCTTTTTCATTGTCAAAGTATTTCATAGCAAAATTTAGATCTCTAATCACGTATACTTCAGTTATACAACTATAAGCAAATGTATTTTCTAACACAATGACAGTGCCATCATAACTCCTAATGAAAACATTTTTTCCTATCATCTATTAAAAATACCCTGTTTATAACAAATTTTCCTTTATTGCCTATACAATGTATTTTATGTTAGGTTTGTTCAAATTAATATCTAAACAAGGTGTACACCTTAAATCTGGTCATGTATCTTAAATGTATTTTCACCTTAAGCAGTTCCCTCTTTCTCTATTTTTTCCCGTAACACTGACCTATTATCAGATTCATATTGGTGTCATAATTCTCAGTGGCTATTTTTCCCTTAAGCATTATTTAACTCGTTTCTTTATTCCTCATGTGTCCTCTAACTGGAAGCTAACCCTGAAAGTGAGTCATGTCTTAAAATATCATAACAATGTATTGATTTTGTCATTGGTAGGCTCTAACACAGTTTAGATTGTGAATAAAGAAAAGTAAAGTATCTTGGTATCTGCCATGGTTGGTGGAATATCCCAAATTGTCCAATATTATTCATATAACATACAAGACGTCCTACACATGGGATGCTGTACTTTTTTCATGACATCTACCTGGTTTCTATCATTCTTAGAATTTATAGACTCAGAACTAGGAGATTCTCATTGAGAAATGTTGTGAGAATTAATCAGAGAGTTAGGGACTAGATATTGAAGTAACTTTAATTCTTAAAATAAAAGATCCTTTTACATATTTGACTTTGAATTGAGCCTCTAAGATGGAATGGTAGATGATGCCTCGAAAGGTAAGAAGTAATTGGGGATTCTATTTGAATACGCAGGATCACCCTAATGCAGTAGATTACTGCTGCAATATTAAGTTGTTGCTGCCTGGCTGATTACAGGGTGAAAAAACTCCAGAAAACATAACACAGTGTTTTCACACTTCAAGTTATGCTGTGCTTTCATAAATAATCAAAGCCATAGTTGAAAGGCAAAAAGTATAACAACATGATACCTAAGAGAAGTGTGCCTTGGTGATAGTGGTATGTAATACAGTAACATTCATAATCGTGAGAACAATATTATTATGTAGATATGTTACTATTTCATTTTAGGAATGAGGAAATTGAGATATAAAAACCTAATTATTTCCCGAAGATCAGTAATGAGTGGAGGTTCTTGGAGCTGAACTGAAGGTCTAGCTCTTAACCATGACACCATACTGCCTCTTAGAATAGAGTTTTGAAATTACTATTGTCTTTATATGAATTCCAGGTTTCAGAGGAACTTCTCCTCACTCTCTAATACCAACCCTGAATCTTGCAATGTCTCTTAGTTCATGTGCATTTCTAATGTGAGTATTTATATACTAATACACATTTAATGTTAACAATATGTACAAATATTCCTTCTGTTTTAAACAGGTAATCAATTACCTTGGTCCTTTGGAACTGATTCTTAATACTCCTAGCCATCATAGAGTTCATCATGGTAAGGAAGTTCTATTTCTTCTCTCTTTTGTTCTTCATTTGTTTAAAAATTACATTATTATTTGCCTTACTTCATTTAATCGCAATTTCCCAGTATAGCCAGCACACATTTTACAAATAAATATAATTTCTTCTTTTCTATCTTCTTTGGTACAACTTCCAAAGTGTGAACTGGTGGGGTAGGGTGGGAGAATTTATCTGTCTGACTTTTGGATTTTTCTTTCTACCTAAATCTTAGCTCCATTGTAGTAGAAAATGAGTTAACCAGCTGAGGAGATACACATTTTATGTTTTAAAGGATCCTGTCAAAGGCTACTCCTTGACCCAGTGCTGAAGGTCATTCCTATCTATAGTCAGAGTTAGTGGTCTTGAAAACTGTTGATTTAAGGAAAGCCCAATAAACAACACTTTACTTTCCTGCCTGAGGCCTTGAACAATCTCAACATAATCTGCCTTTCCCTGATAAGGAGAAAATTCTGTGACTAGTGCCTAAGATATAAAGATACCAACTTAAGTAATAACAAAAACGTTTACATTGTGGACACCAAGCCCTATATAGCAATGTGCATATAAGCATTATTTGTGATAGAAAAAATAGAAATAATTCAAATGTTTTTCAGCAGTAGACTAGATACATTTTATATCATATATCTAACAGAGAATGATATAACAATGAAAATGCCCAAACCATTGCTACATTCAAAGGCACGAATAAATCTCACAAACAATACTGGGAGAAGAAAGCCAGTAAAATAAATAAATAAATGAATAAATAAATAAATAAATACTATTGTCCTGTTTTTATAAGTTTTCAGTCTTCCCCAGCCACCCTGAATCCCTGAAGCCCTGCCTTCCCAAGAAGGGCAGGTCCCTGTGTTTATGGCAGGGAGCTGAGCAGAAGCACAGGCCTCCACAGGAGGAGAGAGGACAGATCAGGGTGCAAAAGCGGTTTCCTCTTCCAAACCCCACAGTCATTCTCCCACCTCCAAGGAGGACAGAAAGTCCCTGGTTTATGATGGTTTGACTTCTAATTTTTCGACTTTAACAATGATGGGAATGTGATCCGTATGCAGCAGACACCATGTCTTGAGTACCCATAGAGCTGTTCTATGTTTTACTTTCAGTACTGTATTCCATAAACCATGTGAGATATTCAACACTTTCTTATGAAATAAGCTTTGTATTAGATGATTTTTGCCTAAGACTGCAGGCTGATGTAAGTGTTCTGAGTGTGTTTAAGGTAGGCTAGGCTAAGTTATGATGTTCAGTACCTTAGCCACATTTAAAAGCTAAAAGCATTTTTGACTCTCAATGTTTTTCAGTATAGATGGTTCATCAGGATGTAACCCCACCATAAGTCAAGAAACATCTCAGTGAGGGAGTGGGGAGGCCAAGGCAGTTAGACACTTGCAGTTCCTTCCATAGGAAAGGAAATATAAGGAGTGGATAAGTACAAGCCCACATTACAAAATGAAACAGTTGCTATTTCTTCTGACTGCATTTTCACACCCACCTTCTTACTGACAGCACTATTGACATTTTCGGACAGATACTTCTTTGTTGTGGATGATGTTCTGTGCATTGTAAGAAATTTAGCAACCTCACTGGCCCCCACCCATTAGATGTCATTACTATCCCATCCCAGGTGTGACTACCACTCATGTCTCCAGAAATTCCCAAATGTCTCTTAAGGGACAAAATGCTTCCCTACTTATTCAGAACCATTATTTAAATCATCTATATATAGCAGTGCTGTCTGCGTCTGTTCAGCCAATCTCTCTCTATTTTTTCACTATGGAAGAATTTTCCTTCTATCTGTGCTTTCCAATATGTGGTTGTATGCATGGAACCCATGCAAAGGAATGGGAACTCATGAAGATAGTTGAGTTTCCTGGGGTGGTGACTTAGTTAATTAATTATTCTTTTTTTTAGATTTACAGTCATGTGGATGTTATCATGTCTACTTAAGGTTTTTGAAAATTGTATTAAAGAAATAATGAGCAGCTATTTACTTTGTAATTTGATTATTTTGCAGCAGGGAAAACATACATGATAAGAGTTTTGAAAAAATTAAGGGTAATTTAATTTTCACTATGGCTTTTATTATCTTAAAAAAACTAGTCAAGTCTCACTCTAAGTGGAAAATTTTCTTCCTGAAACAGCTGCAGAGAAAAGGAACAGAGGGACATTACATCAAAAATTAAAAATAAAAACATGTTTACATGAATTTCTTATTTTATTTCTTATTTATAATTCTTGGTATCATGTAATTCTTAATTTTTATTGAATGGTCCTGAAAAATTATTTACATTTATTCCATTTTTTATACTGAAAAACTGTGACAAGAAAGCATACATATAGTTTTAAGAAAATCCTTGCTTTTTTTTTACTATAATTAATTGAAAAATAAAAATGAAAATTCCTTTAGAGAAGAAAATCTGATGTTGTAAGTGAGAAGACAGTCCCAGGAAAATTATTCTCCTGCTTAAATCTTAATTTTACGAATATGTTCTAAAAACAAGATGGAGGTATCTCAAAAAACATAGCTTTATTTCTCTGAAAAAAAATTTTCTAATATTTTGTCTCATAGGCAGAAATCGTTATTGCGTAGACAAAAATTATGCCGGTGTTCTTATTATTTGGGATAGAATTTTTGGTAAGTAAAACGTATTAAAATCAAAAAATTAAATCAGCTTCTTCATGTACAGGAAACCAAATCTCATATCCTTAATGTTTATCTTCCAGGGACATTTGAAGCAGAAAATGAAAAAGTTGTATATGGTTTAACACATCCCATTAATACATTCGAACCAATCAAAGTGCAGGTAACATACTTGTTTTTTATTCTTTCTGCATTTATATGATTTCATAAATCTTAAAAGAAAAATCAGCTGTTGAAAAGTGGAAGTATATTAGAATAACGTGAAAACAATTTTTAAATATAGAAAATTCAGAAATGAGTCTGATATAGAAGCAAAAGTTTGAATCAAATTAGGCAAAATACATTTAAAAACAACTCATTATAAGAATTTTCAAATATGTCTACTGCCTAGAATGAAAGTGTCTTTTAAACATATCCTTTCCCAGAATAGACCTGAAATATATTCATGTATTCAGTAGGAGCAATAGCAACATGTATAATTAAGGCTGATCCCACAGTAAGAAAAATATTTGCTTTCAGGGTGCATGACTCCAGTTAGAAATTCAACATGAGGCCTTTGCCTTACCCTTCTTGGACCCAAGTGTCAGGAACTATTACAGATTGGTTAAGTCTGTGCATTACCTCACTTGCTAAGACTTGTCAGACTGGACCAGTTTTCTGTTAGACATGTGGTACTAGTTGTTCATCGGTCTCCATGGTTGGCACTAGAGAAATGAGGAATGTCTATGAAGCTCTGATCTGTCAGAAGCAGACCACCGCAAATCCTCCTGGGGTTAGGCACTCATAAATGAGAAAAAGATAAGAATCCTTGAAAAACTGAAGAGGTTGGTCAATGACAGCTCTGTACAGGGGACTGCTTACAACATTCGGCAAGTGAGGAAATGACTAGCTCATGTTGGGTCAGCTTTTCCAGACTACTTCGAGTTTCACTGAAAGTTGAAATAACACAATTGTTGACATCTATTGAGCTTTTACTATGTGCACTGCTAACAGTGCAGAAGAAAAATATTTAGTGTGGCTATTACTAAAATCTTATGCAGTAGTGAATCTTTTTATTCCCGTTTTTTACTGGAGGAAACCGAGGTTCCCAGAATTTAGATAATTCACCCAAGGTCACAAAGCTTGTTAGCTGTGAACTTAACCAAGGTAGGTTGAAAGCTAAGCTCAAGACTTGCTTAACTCAATACACTGTGCTGCTTCTTTACATAAAAGGCCATAACAAATTGCCTTCACTTGTTCAGTGAAAGTCATGTTTTTCTTTTCTTTTCTCGCTCTGTCACCCAGACTGGAGTGCAGTGGTGCAATCTCAGTTCACTGCAACCTCCGCCTTCTGGGTTCAAGTGATTCTCCTGCCTTAAAATCCCATGTAGCTGGGACTACAGGCACTGGCCACCATGCCTGGCTAATTTTTTGTATTTTTAGTAGAGATGGGGTTCCACCGTGTTACCTAAGATGGTCTTGATCTCCTGATCTCGTGATCCGCCCACCTTGGCCTCCCAAAGTGCTGGGATTACAGGCATGAGCCACATGCCTGGCCAAAAGGCATCTTTATCTCCTAGTACACCAAAAGAAGAAAGGTGATTATCTCTCTTCTTTATTCTCAACTACATGGCATTTCTCTCTGCGTCTCTTAGTTACACTTTACTAAGAGTATGATATGGCTGGGCGTGGTGGCTCAGGCCTGTAATCCCAGCACTTTGGGAGGCAGAGGCAGGTGGATTACAAAGTCTGGAGTTCAAGACCAGTCTGACCAATATAGCAAAACCCTCTCTTTATTAAAAAATACAAAAAAACTGCCTGCCGGTAGTCCCAGCTACTTGGGAGGCTGAGGCAGGAGAATCCCTTGAACCCAGAAGGTAGAGGTTGCAGTGAGCCAGATTGCACCACTGCACTCCAGCTTGGCCAACAGAGTGAGACAAAATAATAATAATGATAATAATAGTAATAAAGGAATATGATACATTTTTCAGGAGAATAGAGGCAAATATTTTGGATCTTAATAATAAGCTTTATGTAAATACTACCAGTTGAGAAATAGTTCATTGAAAGCTGCCTTTTCTTCACTTCATGTAGCAGTCGTCTCCTTATTGCAGCCATTAAAAAAGAGATAGACAACTTCATCTGTATCCTCTAGGGCCGAGCTTTGCAAACTCAATATGCATGTGAATCAAAGGATCCTACTAAAATGCAGATTCTGTTCAGTAGGTCTGTGATCTGGTCCAAGATCCTGTGTTTCTAAGCAAGCCCCTGTGTGAAGCCAGTGCTGCTGGTTGATAGGTGATTTCTTTCAGAAGCAAGACTTTGGGAGTGTCTTGCTGAGGAAAACGGGGTTTATAACTGAGATAGAATGAGAAAGTGAATTTTAAATACAATGAGAGCTGCAAAAATTGTGAGATGATTCGAATTTTGAGAGGAACAGTGGTCAGAAAATCACAGCTGTTTATGAACAGCTGCTGAAGCTCTGTTGGGTTCAATTCTCCAGGTCTTTCGTCTCACATTTCCCTTAGTCTTTTACATGTTCACTTATATTGTCAGAAATGTCAAGTCGGCAAGTTGTGATAATTAGGAATACTTGTACTTATAAAAACATTTACTTATTTTCACCTCCATTCCTTTATATGGAGCTAAATTTCTTACCTATTCTTCAGAGGTATCAAAGCAACTTAGGATGGGTTCCGCCAGACAGAAGGGTTTTGTTTGTTGGTTTTCCTTATTATTAGCACCTTGCCCTCCTTTGGCATCACACATTTTAGAGCATTGGGAAATAAATAAGTGAAAAACAGTATTTTCTTTTAAAACATGACCATGTATTTCTTACGGCTTGTTTCCAGAATGACAGAAATAAAATTGTAGTCAGTTTCTGAAATTACAAAGCAGGCAAGTATATTAATGTACATTGTAACTTCTAAGCACATTCGTTTTCTATATTATGGTTCTTATTATTTCAGAGCCCCAAGCTAAGTTTCTTTCTTTCTTTCTTTCTTTTTTTTTAAGATGGGGTTTCACCATGTTGGTCAGGCTGGTCTTGAACTCCCAACCTCAGGTGATCCACCCACCTTGGCCTCCAAAGTGCTTGGATTACAGGCATGAGCCACTACGCCCGGCCCCAAGCTAAGTTTCTACCTAACATTTACCTATTCCTCAGATCTATCCCATTAATCCATTTATGCCTGAGGTTGCAATTTTTTGAATTTTTACAGTCAGACCTTGGTGATGACCTTAGGTAGTAGAATATAAATAACTCCTACGTGCTTAGCGTTCCAATAATGGAACACTAGGCATAAATTGTTAAGTTCTTGATTGTTTAAATGCTTCAGATTCCTTATTGTGATATTCTAAGCAATTTTAAAGTTTTATTTATAATCTTAAAGGCTCAAATTGTTCAAAACACAGTGAAAATAATAGTAAAATCACAAACTCTGACAAAGCCAAAGCTTGTTTCTCCATTAATTTATTTCTATATTTATCATAGAACTCACCTCTAGAGTCTACAGCTGATGCTCAAACTTCAGGAGTCTTTTTAGTCCTCTGGTGCATTATCATCATATGTGTGTCATAAATGGCAAACGTTTATTGAACACTTATCACATGTGGGCACACTTTTCACTTCTATACATGTCAAATGCATGCTATTTAAAGAATGTGGATTCCTGCTATGAGATACCAGGGGAAATTTTGCCTCTGTCAGCAAACTTTTCTAATTATACAATATGGACCATTTGATACTCAGAAGTCTACTATCAAAACTACTTACAGGATTTTTATGAATATGTATTGTCTGTAATACAAAGTAGTAAATAGAGAATTGTGTTTTAAAATTTTAAACAGATATGTAATCTTTATATGTTGCCACGTTCAACTTTTGTATCCAGTGAGCAACACTTAGAAAAGTTGTCATTGCCCGGGTGTGTTGGCTCACACCTATAATCCCAGCACTTTGGGAGGCTGAGGTAGGCGGATCATGAGGTCAAGACATCAAGACCATCCTCGCCATGATGAAACCCCGTCTCTACTAAAAATACAAAAATTAGCCATGTGTGGTGGCACGCGCCTGTAGTCCCAGCTACTCGGGAGGCTGAGGCGGAAGAATCGCTTGAACCCAGGAGGCGGAGGTTATAGTGATCCGAGATTGCGCCACTGCACTCCAGCCTGGCGACAGAGCAAGACTCCATCTCAAAAAAAAAAAAAGTTAAAAACCAGGCTTGTCAACATGGTGAAACCCATCTCCACTAAAAATACTAAAATTAGCCTGGCACGCTGGCGTGTGCCTATAATCCCAGCTATCCAGGAGGCTGAGACAGGAGAATCACTTGAACCTGGGAAGTGAAAGTTGCAGTGTTCCAAGATTCTGCCACTGCACCCCAGCCTGGGTGACAGATTGAGACTCTGTCTTGGAAAAAGAAAAAAAAGAGAAGTAAGGTGTCATTAGGCAGGGATGTTGAGTGCACAGGCTGCTAGTTAATTCCACTGGAAGCAAAGCCTCTTAACTCATCTTTTTTCTACGTTGCTGATTGTCCAAACAATTGCCTTATTTTTACATTTCAAAATGATAATTTTATTGAACTTCAGAAATATTGACAATAACACACTTAATAGTACACAGAGTGCACAGAGTAGATTACAGCATGGAATGCAAGTATACATTAATTTCTAATCATGTATAACATGTTTTAAAATATGTAAATTACCATGAACAATAAAATAATATACATAATTTTTTGTATTTGATCTTTCTGTCCTATTTATCTTATTTGAAATAAGCTCTTTTTTTTTTATTCTTTCTAGTTTCACCACTTATTTTACATATGGACTACATTCTGGGCCACACCTGGATTCTTCAATAAGTTTTCTGTCATATTTAAAGGACCAGGATGGGGTCCAGGTAAACCAAGACTTGGCCTAAGTGAAGAAATCCCAGAGGTAAATAGAGGTCACAAAGCTGGAGATGGGGAAGATTCGTCTCATGTTGTCAGGTCTACAGCCAGCCTGTACGTAGGCTGTTTTCATGCAAATCTGTAAAAAGATGTTCCGTCAGTCAGATGCAGTCCTGTGGTCCTTAACTTAATGCATGTCCACCAACTATGTGCCAATTAAAGGAGTGCCTTCTCCTAAGTGAGCTCTGCCACTTACCTGAGAGCACACATTGTGGAGCAGAGCTACAGAGGCTGGTTTTCAGATCCCTTTAACGCCCACCTTTGTGTAGGGCATAACTTCACAAATACATGCAGCTCAGACACAGAGTCCTAGAACGCTGGAGATGGAAGAAAACTTAGGAATGAGTCAGTCTGACCTTAATTCCACTCATGAAAAACTGAGGTCCACAAAACAGATGTATCTAAAGTCACATCAAGACAGTGTGGATTTTTAGTCAAACTATAACTATATTCATTTTATAGTAGAGTAGAAGATATATACAGAAACCACATTGAAACCAAAAATTAAAAAATGTAGATCTTTAAAACACAGGAACCCAAATGAAAAATTCAGTTCCAACCCAGAATTACTCTTCTGGAGAAGAAAGAGAAGTTTCTTTTTAATCATTTAGAATATAAGTTCGAATTTCTTAGCAAATAAATGCCACGAATATTAATGTAGAAACAATTACTAAAGTAAATGATTCTTGATTTCAAGGATGATATGATACTATGCATACAAAAGTTAGCCTGTAGTATTTCAAGGAAGTAAAATAAGATGTTTTATTTAAACACTATTATTTTGGGCCAGGCATGGTGGCTTATGCCTATAATCCCAGCACTTTGGGAGGCCGAGGCGGGCGGATCAAGAGGTGGAGAGATTGAGACCATCCTGGCCAACGTGGTGAAACCCTGTCTTTACTAAAAATACAAAAATTAGCTGGGCATGGTGGCATGTGCCTGTAGTCCCAGCTACTCGGGAGACTGAGGCAGGAGAATTGCTTGAACTCAGGAGGTAGCGGTTGCAGTGAGCCGAGATAGTGCCACTGCACTCCAGCCTGGCAACAGGGCAAGACTACATCTCAAACAAACAAACCAAAACATAAGGTGGATTTATGGTTTTGGGTCAAACTGTAATTATATTCATTTTATAGTAGAGTAGAAAAAATAAATACAGGAACCACATTGAAAATAAAAAATAAAAAATGTAGATCTTTAAAAGACAGGAACCCAAAGGAAAAATTCAGTTCCAACCCAGAACTTCAGTTACTCTTTTGGAGAAAAAAGAAAAGTTTCTTTTTAATCATTTAGAATATAAGTTGTGATTTCCTATCAAATAAATGTCATTAATAGTAATGCAGAAACAACAGGAAAAGTAAACTACTTTTGATTTCAAGGATGGTATTATGTGTACAAAAGTTAGCCCTGTGATGATTCAAGGAAATAAAATAAGATGTTTTATTTAAATATTATTATTTTGAAAATATCCTAATCTAAATAATGATATTTTCTCAGTTACCAAAGCTTCTGGGACTAAGTTTCCCAGACACTTTTGTTTATGTTCATAATTAGTTGTGCAGCAATCTACCAACTTGATACAGGTGAAATAATTTACATTTCAACTAAAAAAAATCTGTTTGCTATGATCCATTTATTATTTTTCTTTCTGTCAGTAAATATCTCATAGTGATTACAGTATTTTAAAGTTATATGAGTGCAGGAGTCTGTGTTAAAAAAAAAAAAAATAGATGTAGGCTGGGTGCAGTGGCTCACGCCTATAATCCTGGCACTTTGGGAGGCTGAGGCCGCCGGATCACAAGGTCAGTAGTTCAGGACCAGACTGGCCAACATGGTGAAACCCCACCTCTACTAAAAAATACAACTATTAGCTGGGCGTGGTAGCTCGTGCTTATAATCCCAGCTACTTGGGAGACTGAGGTAAGAGAATTGCTTGAACCAGGACCCAGCAGGCGGAGGTTGCAGTGAGCCCAGATTGTGCCACTGCACTCCAGCCTGGGCTACAGAGCGAGACTCCATCTCAAAAAACACATAGATGTGTAGCATTTTGGAAAAAGTCAAATGCTAGAGTAGAAATGTACTTTATTGGAAACAACTTTTCTGAAGTTTCCAATAAACAGCTTTAGAAAAGTTGATCTCAATAAAATAATATTTTTCTTTGAGGCATGATTACCTGCCAAGTTCACCTTCTGTTTTTGTTGTTGTTGTTCTTTTGTTTGTCTGTTTTTTGAGACAGAATCTTGCTTTGTCACCCAGGCTGGAGTGCAGTGGCATAATCTTGGCTCACTGCAACCTCGCCTCCCGGGTTCAAGCAATTCTCCTGCCTCAGCCTCCTGAGTAGCTGGGAGGCTACAGGTGCATGCCACCACACCCAGCTAATTTTTATATTTTTACAAGGTTTCACCATGTTGGCTAGGCTAGTCTCAAACGCCTAATCCCAGGTGATCTTCTCACCTAGGCCTCCCAAAGTGCTGGGCTTATAGGCATGAGCCACTGTGCCCAGCCCCTACCTTCTGTTTTTTTTCTTTTACTTTGCTGTCATATATGATCATCAACATATTATCAAATAGGGAAGATCCAACCCATTCATTTTGGCTATCTTTATTATTTACACATATTGCTGAATTAGTTCTTACGCTGCTCTTTAAGGCAGACTACATCATAATTGTAATGTTTTTAAAATGAGAAAAAAGTTTCCCAACTTACAGACATGTTTCTATTTTTTAAAATTGTTAGTTTTTTTTTTTTTTTTTTTTTTTTTTTTTTTTTTTT